CCATCCACCCTCTTTCTGCCACCATAGCATCTCCTGCCTGCGTCACCACTACTACCACCATCACTTAACATCTCTACCACCACCCTGCACTACCACCATCATCACTGCCTCCTGCCACCACCCACATCCACTTCACTACTACCACCATCACTGCCTCTACCACCACCATCACCACTACTACCACCAACACTGACTCTACCACCACCATCACTACTACTACCACCATCACTGCCTCTACCACCACCACCACTTCTACTATAATTAACATCCTCTACAACCACCACCACCACCACTACCACCAACACTGACTCTACCCACCACCATCACCACACTACTACCACCAGCCCCTTTGACTCTGCCACCACCATCACTACTACCCACCATCACTTTGACTCTACCCACCATCACTCACTACTACCCACCACCAGCGCCAGCCACTACCACTTCTGCTATAATTAACATGCCTATAGCCACCACCACCACCACTACTACTGCTATCAATACTGCCCCTGCACCTGCTACCCATCGATCCCTTGCCTCTGCCACCCATTGCTACTATCAGGCTACTCCTACCACCCATCTCTGCACTCAACCATTTTACCCCCACTGCCTCTGCATCACCATCACCACTTTGCTAATGCCATCTCTACCACCACTATTACCATCACCACCACTGCCTCTACCACTATCAACATTACAAACAACCACCACCACTACCAAAATCCACCATCACCATCACCTCCAACACTATTACCACCCCCACTACCACCTCAATTACTACCACCACTATCACCACGACAGACATACGAACTCTCACAACAACAATGACCATCAACCACATTACCACCTTCACCACCTATTATACGAGTATTAAAAGGGACTAACTACGGTTATTCAGGGATAACTGGTATAACAATAACCTGACATTTGTTCTACGTATAACATTAATAACAATAATATTAATAACAACAACATGAAGTAATATGAATAATAATGGATCTATATGGAATAAAAAAAAATACTTTAAAATATAATATAAAAATTAACGAAAAGAAGAGAGAGAACGAGAGACAACGAGAGAAAACGAGAGACAATGAGAGAAAACGAGAGACAATGAGAGACAACAAGAAAGACAACAAGAGAGATAACAAGAGACAATGAGAGATAACAAGAGACAACAAGAGAGACAATAGTGCTGCCAAGAGAGACAACAAGAGAGATAACGAGAGATAACAAGAAAGACAACAAAAGATATAACAAGAGACAACAAGAGAGAAAACAAGAGACAGTAAGAGAGACAACAAGAGATACTAAACGAACACCACAACTTTACCAAAATATTCCATGGATCACAAAAAAATAATAAAATAAAAACAACGCCTATTCACCTCTTTTTACACACACACACACACACACACACACACACACACACACACACACACACACTTGTTCATACCAAAGCTCACATACCCCCAAAAAAAAAAAACATAAGGAACTCAATAAACATATCTTTAACCACAGGCCGGTTTTCATGTGGGGAAAGTGGAGGAGGTTGTGGGAATTTAGGGGCGTGCTGTGTTAGTAGTTATAAATAATAAAAAAATCAAGACTCCATCATTCAATAGTCTCCCCATCCAACCCCCCCCACCAACCATCACCTCCCTCCTCCACCACACCCCACCTCGCGGATTAAGCAGCTGCCTAGACCTTTCTACCGTCCAGTAGAGGCGGCCCTGTACGTCCATTCACCCGAGCATGATATATCAGACACCAGACGTCGTAAACTATGGATAAAACTCGATAAAGCCTTCGCCACTGCCGCCGCCGCCACGCCTCCTATAGGGACATTCATCACGCAGGATTTGTGGCTCCTCCTATCGGCTTTACATCTTACTACACTCGTACCGTTTGTCTGGATACACTATACTCTGTACCCTCGGGGTTATTTATGCTGGCGGTTTTGGCATCCTTTGAAATTTAACCTCGATATCCTCTGGCTTAGATATCTGGCCTCGATATCCTTTGAAACGAAGCCTGAATATCCTTTGCCTTAGATATCTGGCCTTGATATCCTTTAAACATATATATCTGATTTGGATAGCCTTTAAAACTAAACCTGGATATAACCTGGTATATCTATCAGTCCTGAAAATTCTGTTACGCTAAATCTGGATAATCTTTGGGTTATAAATCTGGCCTGGATCGCCTCTTGGATAGTCACAACCATCTAGTCAAATTATCTCTTGGTTATGATATGGTAGCTAGCCTGGATATAAACATATAGCCGGCCAGTATAGCCCAATGACTATACTGGTCAGCCTGGCTTAGCCTGGAAAATCACTAATATCTGGCTGCACTATCCTTTGGTTACAACGACAGGCCTGGATAGCCTTTATTTTGGGTATTCGAGTTACCACTCTTACGCCTTTGCCCGAACCCTTGGCCAGGAGACTTAAACCCTTCCGCTTTATGGTAAAGATTTACGACTTAAACCTGTGTCCTCGGCTTGACCTTTGGCTTGAGTCTCCATGTAGCCTGGCCTCTGATCTGAACCTTTAGCTTTACCTTTGGCATGTTATATTCTTGACAGAGTACTTTCACGTGTACTTTAGGTTAGTACTTATGTTTTTTTATGTCACTGTCCTATAAGTCTACTATATATATATATATATATATATATATATATATATATATATATATATATATATATATATATATATATATATATATATATATATATATATATATATATACACACACACACGATATAACTGTCTGAGTATGTCCGCGTGAAAACCTACAAAAACAATAACAAACGAAACGCATGAGGACAAGTCAAACACAGCCATGAAAGACAACGCAGCGTTTAAAAACAATGTTCCTCACTCATCAAGAGACTAGTTACGATACAGTCTTAAGAGTAATATCGACTCCATTATGTCCACCGACCTTTAGTGTTGAGGTAAGAAAGGTGAAGATGCGTCCTCTCCAACTGGTGGAAAGTTGGGTACATCTTTCGTTATGGCTGGTGACGCTGAGAAGGAATTAAATCAGACCCACTCTGTACCCCATTCAAAGGTACTCCTCATCCCCCACAGTCCAACCCCTTCACGGTCTAACCCCCCACCCGTAGCCTTCCAACACCTAACCCCCACCCCCCATTCATCCTCAGGGCAGTATAATATTTCCCTAACAAGCAAACAAGGCAATGAGAGAAACATGTAATTACACTAAGATACCGCAGCAGCCCCCAGCCTCCTCCCCGCCACTTCACCAACCTAAGTTTAGTGAAAGTGGAGTTTGTATGAGTGTTAGTGAACAGGTTATCGCTGGGGACAGGTAACCCGGTTGTTAAACACGTGGGGGGAGACAGAGTACATCTTCTATTATTACCATCACCCCTGTCACCACCATCTGACTCGCCACCATTAACCCTGTCACCACCATTAGCCCTGTCACCTGCATCCCCACCCCTGTCGCCTACATTACCTCTGTCACCACCATCACCCCTGTCACCACCGTAACCTGTCACCACCTTCGCCCCTGTGCACCGTACCCCTGTCACCCACCACATTTGCCTCCAGCCCACCACCATCACCTCTGTCACCACCATTACCTCTGTGCCATGTGCCACTATGCCACCATCACCTCTGTCAGCACCATCACCCTGTCACCACCATTACCCCTGTCACCTGTCACCCCTGTCTACCATTACCTCTGTCACCACCCATCACCTCTGTCACCACCATTACTATGCCATCTGCCCTATCACCATCACCCTCTGTCACCACCATCACCCCTGTCACCACCATCACCCCTGTCACCACCATCACCTCTGTCACCACCATCACCCTGTCACCACCATGCACCCCTGTCACCATCATCACCCCTATCACCACCCATGCCTCATCTCATCATCACCCTGTCACCACCATCACCCTATCACCTGCATCACCTCTGTCACCATCATCACCGTCACCACCATCACCCTATCACCACCATCACCTCTGTGTCACCATCATCACCCTGTCTGTCATCACCGTCACCACCATCACCCCTGTCACCACCATCACCCCTATCACCACCATCACCCCTGTCACCACCATTACCCCTGTCACCACAATCACCCCTGTCACAACCATCACCCCTGTCACTACCATCATCACCTCTGCCGCCACCACTATCATTATCACCACCACCATCATCATCATCATCATCATCATCATCATCATCATCTCTGCCATCACCACTACCTTCATCATCATCATCATCATCTCTGCCACCACCACCACCACCTTTATCATTATCATCCTCACCTCTACCATCATCATCATCATCACCACCATCATCACTACTATAATCATCACCGCCACCACCACCGTCAACAACACTACCACCACCACCATCACCACTATTGGCTACTGTACCATCAGGGGAGGACTGCCTAAATGATTAGTCGGTGAATATTTCGGCTATCAGAGGGTTTGGTCGGTAAAGATTTCTAGTATCCAGGAATTAGTCGGTGAATATCGTGATAACTAGGAGGCAGTCGGTGAAGATTTCGACCGTGCACGAGACCCTCTACAGGGAACATAAACATCCAGGATTTGTCTTCTTCAGTCCGGTACCATGAGCCGTGACGCTGTTATACCTCATCAGAGAACCAGTCTTGGGCGGCCAAAGAAACTTCTTGATTGCAGGAAAATATGAACAAAGGTAAACAAAATCTTGACCATGGAGAACCTAATCATCCGATCAACAGCTTTTTGTCCTACGTTGAGAGAGAGAGAGAGATAACCACCAGGTGAAGGAGCACCGGACCAGGCGTCACCACACTCGGTACACCGCGAGCGACGGTCCACTGAGCTAACAATTCACCAGTTGTGTCCTGGTAATTCCTTTAAGTCATAACAAAGGTACATGCTGGTGTCTATTTAATACCTGACACACAACAAATAATGCATACAAGGCAAAAACTAAAAGAAGTTAAGGTCACTCACCGATAGGGACACAGGCATCCCCTAGAGGTCAAATGTTTATTGCAGTGCCTCGTCCTGACCCGTCACTTTGGCCACGACCTCCGTCTGGAAAAGGACAACAGAAAATTTGAAAAATTTCAGCATTTGGGACCGAGTCACCTCTACTTCAGATGTTTAGAATTGTGTTACAGATAAAAAAAATGTATCCTTTAGGTCCTGACTTCCTCCACGCCCCTAACTAAACTAGAAGATCGGGTCCACACATCTGCAGAAGTCTTTCATTTATAATCACTCCGGGGAGCGATGACAGCATACCAACCCACAACTTTTAACAAAACAACGTAACCAACACCTTAACATCCATTAGCAACGCCCCCCTAAAAAAAACCCACAAAAAAACAGCAAATTCCTAGCACTTGCAGGACATGCGAAGCCAGTAAGCGAGAACACGGACATCACATTAACAAGAGTGTTGGTGGGAGGGAGAAAATTGCGAGTTCCACGACAACTGGAGGCGCTGGCCACCGTGTGCCCTGTCCGATACCCTGCACCCCACTTACACTCACAACTATGGTTGCGTTTCACTGCGCTTTAAAACTATATTTCCAATTTGGGATTTAAATATCCTAATAGCGTATAGAAAATATTGAAAGTTTCTTGTCTTTTTGGATAATAACATAATTGGTCATAAAATTTGGGAACAGTCTCCAACCATCCGTCGGGAATGCTAGCTGGACGACGGACGCACACTGAGAATGTCGCGCAAGAGTGAATTTGCTTGTAGAGCGTCGTCGTAATAGAAATATTTAATCACGACCTCTCCGTTGTTGGCCATCCTGTGTCGCACGAGAGAGTTTATTACAGAGCGGCCATGACACTAACACAGAGACAGTTGTGCAGCAAGATTCTCTCACGGACGGCTCTTGGTTTCTAATTAGCAATGAGTCGTGGCCCGTAAATTGTAAGGCATCTGAAAATGACTCTCAATGGTCATAATGTTGTGTCTCGTGCTCAGTGTAGTGTCTATTATCAATTACATCCCAGGCAGGTGGAACCATGTATTAGGTCCAACAGAACCCATTATAAAAATTAATATCCACCGAGGACAAGACTGGTGCATATATTCCTACTGTTGCCGCCAGCGCTCAAGGTGTACACGAAGCTGTTTTGTTCTGTCACTTGAATCAGAAGTACAGTACAGTACAGTACAGTACAGTACAGTACAGTACAGTACAGTGCAGTACTCATCATTACAACCACAAAGAGGCTGGTGGAAGACGGAAGCCGGATGACAACGTCCAACACCATTGATCTCCACAGTGCAGTGTAGTGCCGTCTTCCTTCACCATTTTCATCATAACGGCTAGAACTCACCACTTCCCACCAGCCTTCTATAGTACACCCCTAAAATACGTGACTCGTGCAACTATAAGATTCTAATCAGAGTTCTTTATTGGGTAAAAGAAAGGTTGTAATCAGCGTGGGCCGATACCGCTGACAAGAGCGCCCTCGTGAGGTAATAACTAGCCAGCGGACCACATTCTCAGTACCTCCCAGGGATCCGCAGGCCACCTGCGGCCCTCTCCACCACCTCTCAGCTACCGTAACTATTTTTCTCCCATCTGATCTTCCGAGACCGTAATCAACTACGATGAAGGAAGGAAGAACATGAGTGTATCTGATGATTCACACACTGGTAGATTTATTTATAATATGGTTAATAATTATTTACTCTTCTCGAAAAGGCGCTAAAATAGTTAATGTTGAACGTCTTACTTTCACTACATTTGGACTTTCCATGGACGGTCATCGGTTTTATCTACAATCTGTCAGTTCCGACACTCAGCTGGGATCAATTAGAAACACTACTGTGAGTATCCCACATCATGCAGTGTTGGCAGCACCTAAGGCTCGCATCCACTAAGGTCAGCATCTATAAGGGTTAGCGTCTCCCAGTTCCTTGTTTGAATGTCACGGGTGAGTTCGCTGATGATGAAGTGGAAGGATCTGGAACTGCCTCACTCCCACAGTCTGGTCACACACACACCTGCTGCCCTGCGGCACCTTCAGTAACCAGGTGGACCCCAGGCCGCCCGCCACTCCTACTCCCCAACACCGCACCAATCTTTTCACTCAGAAGGTATATAGTTAACATATACATGGGCCTTCCGTACAACATTCGATACGATGAAAACAGAGTTAAATCATCCCTAACAATCGTGTTCGCGGATCATTACCACATAGTTACGAGAGGTAAACACGGCCCGGGAGGCTGGGAACGAGACAACATCTCCCCTGCGGAGGTGCAAGTGAGTCATGCCTTGCCACACCCACTGGGCCCTTCTCCTTTCCTGCGTTACTTACCTTCCTTTATTACCTGTTTCTTTCTCTTTCCCTCCATCATTCCCAACTTCTCTACCTTTTTCTATTCTCCCTTATTTCACCTTCTCTCTTCTCTTCATTAATCCGTCTGAAATTCTATCCTTCCTTTCCCTCCACCCGTCTTCCACTCACCCTTCCCCTTCCTCACCCTCTCCCTAATGTTTCTGCTCCAACAACCTTCTGGTACTCTCAATCTCATCCCGAATATTCTTTGCATTCGACAACACCAGAGACATAGACAGTACTGACCTCCTTTAACGTGTACACACACACACACACACACACTCGTAAGGTCTTACGTGATGGTCAACTAGAATGGCTAAAAACACGCTAGTATGAGAGGATATAACATGTTAGTCTATGTTCAATTAGTTATTATCACGGTCAACGGAACATGATTTAGTTATTATCACAGCTAACGGAACATGATTTAGTTATTATCACAGCTAACGGAACATGATTTAGTTATTATGACAGTTAACGGAACGGGAGTTAGTTATTACTACAGCTAACGGAACATGAGTTTGTTATTATCACATTTAAGTAACATGAGTTAGTTATTATCACAGCTAACGGAACATGAGTTAGTTATTATGACAGTTAACGGAACGGGAGTTAGTTATTATTACAGCTAACGGAACATGAGTTAGTTATTATGACAGTTAACGGAACGGGAGTTAGTTATTATCACAGCTAACGTGTTATTCTATGTTCAGGAGATTATTATCGTCGTTAAGGGGGAACAATACGGTAGTTGTAGTCTCACTTGGGTCTCTTTATTACTTCCTGTCATAAGGTTAAGATACTGAGGCGGGTTTATGACGGGTGACTGTTACCACGTTAACCTGGGTGGTAGTGGTGGTGGTGGTTGGTGAAAGTGGTAATGGTGGAGATGGAAGATGTTGGTGATAGTGATGGTGAGGTAAAGTGGATAACTGTCCTCATACTGAAACACACACACACACACACACACTAATGTACAAGAAATTATATTTGTACCATTCGTGTAAAACTACTGTGCTGTACCTTCTAGCTGCTGTACTGTAGTCTGTTTACAACTGGGTTAAGGCCTGGCAGTACTCCACCAGCTGAGGACTGGAGGAGAGACGCGAGACACCATTTAGTCGGATAAAACAAATACGAAAAAATATCACCACTTCAATACAAAACTTTTTCCTGAGATAGTTAGTTTCGTGATGACCAAACAACTAAATACGCACTAAAAACGAAAAATAAAAATATATTCTAGCGATATCACAATTCATGCAATATTTATCTTTCACTTAATGGCAACAATGTAAATAATACCACAAGAAATGTGTGTTGTTCAAATATATCCAGGAGAGGGTTGGGTCCGTGATGTAGTTGCCGTGCGTGCCGCCAGATGTCATGACTGGCATAATAACATGTACCAGATTCTGATTTGTCTCGCAGAATGTAGACGGTACTGAAGCTGACTTTCGTGGCTATATTCATTATTTTCTTAACCTAACGAGAGCGTTTCTCTTAAAGATATACGATAAAAAAATTCAAACTGCTTTCGAAAGTTGCGTATTTTATTTATAGTCTCTCAGTCACGCAGGCATTGTTCCCGGCTCAGTGGGTCTTGGCACGCCCATGCTCACACCCTCCCTCACATCCCACCCCATGCCCACGTCTTCACCGTCTCATATAGATACCCATGACCACGTAAAAACCCCTAAATCACGCCCATGTTTACGTCCACCATCACGTCTCCAGTTATACCTTCACAAACATGTCCAAGTGCTCCAAATATATACAGGCCATACCTGATTATACACCCACACCCATGCCAGACCGTACACCCACGCCCATTTCTAATAATAAGCCCATACCTATGTCCAATAAGCATGCACCCACACCCATGCCTCAGAAGAAACCCACGTACATGTCTAGCAACAAACAGCTGTGCCCAAGCCTAACACCCACGCCTTTGTCCACACCAACACCTCAAGTTTACCCGTAGACAGAACCACGCCCATGTCCACCCCACCAGTGTAAATATCCTGTCACGAAAGGGTCCGACCAAAATACACATCCCGCCTATGTGTGTGTTGAGTGTTTTCTCAAATAACTCTCCCCTTTTCCCCCTCACTACACTTCTTCCAGCCTCTCCACTCTCTCCCTTCTCCTTCAAACCACTTGCCCTCCCTCTGCCTCCAGCTCCTTCCTCCCTCCCCCTGCCTTTCACTCTCCCCCTTCCCTGCCTCTGACTCTCCCCTTGCCTCTCACCCTTCCTCTGCCTCTCCCCCTCCCCCTGCCTTTCACTCTCCCCCTTCCCTGCCTCTGACTCTCCCCTTGCCTTCCTCTGCCTCTCCCTCCCCTGCCTTTCACTCTCCCTTCCCTGCCTCTGACTCTCCCCCGCCTCTCACCCTTCCTCTGCCCTCCACCTGCCTTTCCTCTCCCCTTCCCTGCCTCTGACTCCCCCCTGCCTCTCACCCTTCCTCTGCCTCCCCCTCCCCCTGCCTTTCACTCTCCCCTTCCCCTGCCTCTGACTCTCCCCTGTCTCTCACCCTTCCTCTGCCTTTCCCCCTCCCCTGACTTTCACTCTCTCCCTTCCCTGCCTCTGACTCTCCCCTGTCTCTCACCCCTTCCTCTGCCTCTCCCCCCTCCCCTGACTTTCACTCTCTCTCCCCTGCCTCTGACTCTCCCCTGTCTCTCCTTCCTCTGCCTCTCCCCTCCCCTGCCTTTCCTCTCCCCTT